GCGGTGTCCATGTTATCCCGTCAGTTGGCAACCCTCCAAGCCACGGCTTTTAGTGCACCGTGTGAGATTCAAGCGCATCGGAATGCTTCTAGCGAGAAAAAAAATTCGCTTAGGGTCGACCTTAATCCCCCTCACTGCCATCTAGAGGCCACCGTCTAGCTTAACAGTCGCCTGAGGTAAGATGGGCTTGGGTCTCAATAGCGAGATAGGTTAAGACTACTGCAACTAGGTTTGGATGCAGTGCCAGCTTTGAGAATTATCCTACCACCGCCTCAATTAAGGGTACCACCGCCCACAGACGACTGAAGCAAAATACACGGCCTACCCTGTCGTAGCCAGTTGGTTGGTTGGTAGCCCATGGATGATCCAACGTAGGGAGATGGGTGTAGCAGACCTTGGCCGCCGGGAGGGCGGGTGGGAACGCGGTTCGAAGACGCGTCTGCTGTGGTCGTAGCCAGTACTGTTCCCTGGTGCCGCATGCCTTGGCTGAGTTTCACGGAGAGCCAGACTTAATTGACTACAATAACGCAAAGTGGCTACTTTCTCCGGGGCACTCTAAACACACTTAAGAAAGGCTACTGCTTAAAAATATTAGCCTAATGTAATGACACAAGAGAGCAGCAAAGAGGCAATGATTTATTCAAATACATATACACATCAAAATATTATGAAAGTGGGACAGATAAATTAGTGGTGTGTGTGCTGTTTGTACAGTTGAGATGACGAGGGCAATGCTGGGCAGCGGGGGGTCCATTAGAAGTCCTCCAAGCCTATTGGTGGTTTGGTAGCAGCCCTGTAGACACGACCTTCAAAAACAGGCTGGGCGGGGGTGCCTGACTGTTGCTGCTGCTCTTGTACAGGATTACAGGGGTGCTCGGAGAGCCCGGAAGGCAGTGGGGGCAGGATGAACTTCAGCGCACCATGGAGACGTGGTCTCAAAAGTGACAGAAGAGGGCGCACCTTCTCCTGCACAGAGTTGCCCACGTACATGTACTTGATGTGATAGAAAACGTCCGCGAGGGTATTAACATGATAGAGAGGGACGCCTGCTGCGGCCAGCTTCTGGTCCACCTTAGTGACAGCCTTGTAAAGCATTTCGGTAACCTTG